ACGCTTAACGGCTCGGGCTCGACATTAAGACTACCCAAACGACGACGAAGTAAATAAGGCTTTAAGAGAAAAGGAAGTGTTGGGCCTTCATGAAACGAAGCCCACCAAGAGCTTCAAAGCTACAAAACACGACAAAAGAACTTCTCCTCAACGGTCTGATATGGATAACGACAAAGAATGCTACACAGAGCAAAGGAAGAAGAAAGCTGGAGGTACGGCTGGTCAACCAATAGATTTGCACCACTCCATTCACTAGACGCGTCTCCTGTTGATGACTGACATGTGTCACACGATCTGTGAAGATACCTTTGGGAACCCTTGTATAAAAGGTATCTTAGCTCGATTAATGTAATCTCTAAGAGAGAAATGAATCAATAAAACGTCTTCTCTTCAAAATACTTAGCTGTTCTTAAAAGTTACTTTCACCTCCATCACCGTCCGTCCACCGCCTCCTCCCCTCCGGTGATTCACCACAGTGTAATCAATCAACTTGTCTTTACTTTTTTTTTTTGTTTCTTATGGAATCTGTGTCTTTCGGGCTTTGCTTGTTGTGACTGGTTAGGCTCTTGTCGAATGATTTATTCTTGAGTTGCTTTCCATTTGACGAACTTGTTTTCTTCATATCCAATAAATTTGGTATCCTGAGTTGATTTGTTTTTTTTACTATATGGTTATTGTCTCAGGCAGATAAAATGAATCCCGCCGGAGGTCAGTCCATTACTATACGGCTTACGAACCGTCGAAACCGCTCATACGTCGGCACTATATCAGTCGGAGATCGATTGTTCAATGAACACAGGCATGCACGACATGTGGATTCCGGAAAGATTACAAAACACCGATGAACCAATGATAAGAGAATATGTTCCATCAGCTACTTACGACCCACATCCAGGTTGATGTTTTGTTTTGTTTTTTTTCAATTTTTGACGGTTAGAAGATAACAAAATTCAATCTCACTGTTCTTTGTTTTTTTCTATATTTGTTTGCTTTATATAAAATTTAGGAACCGTTGGTTGGACCATACTACAACCTAATAGTCGTGCCTTTTTATTTGGGAGGGGCTAATCCATTGCATTTCCAAGGCCAGCACATCTACCAAGATCTTATCGATAATGCTTATAAGTGGATGATCCACATGTATTCGGTTCAAGTTGCCGGCAATCTAGGTAAGTAAAACTGTTTTCCATTATTTATTCAAAATAAAATGATTTTTTTTTTGCTTTTATCTACTAATTAACCAGTTTTATACTGTTTTTGTTTTCTTCTAGCCCAATGCTGCTACAAAGCCCTCGTAGATAGTGGAAGCAAATACATTTATGGCCCCCGTGTAAGTATACTTATTTTCACTTTTAGTAAATATGTTTTACATTCTAATCCCTTTTGTATGCTTATTAGGCTCTAATCTATGCAATCAACCGCCAAATCCTCAACCGGGAAGTAAGTTGTATATATACATATTATACATGTTTTTGTTCTTTATTTTATTTTGAGAATGATCCTATCATATTTTGTATTAGGTTCCTCTTGGTGGAGTGACATTACTTGAAGCCGATGAGTTTGAAAATTTTAACCAATTGCCTGGAGTACTTTTCACCTTCGGTGATGGTGGACACGTTTTTGATATGCAACCGGAAGACGTAAGCAATCTGTAATTTGCTTCATTTTTTTCCTCTTCAATATGTAATTAGCTTATGAGAATTGTTTACTAATTTACATATATATAATTTCCGTTTGTAGTACATTTGTCCAGATGAAGACACGCCGGGAAGATTTAGCACCGTCTTTAGACCAATGGTCTTCCCAGACGGCGAACCACACTTGTAAGTTAATATTTTAAAGTTTTGTTTCTCAAGAAAAAAAATATTTGCAAGTTTATTACCATTATTTGTCAAGTTTATTAACGTTTTTGACATGATACAGTGTTTTGGGATTCCCTTGGCTCCGTCGATACCACACGATCTTTGACTTTGGGCAAAGGAGGATCGGATTTGCTCTTGCTCTTGCGTAAGCCAATGGATGTTGCTCATGGACATCGAATTCTCTATGCAGCGAATTATCATTTATTTCCCACTTTGTGTTTTATGGTTAGACTTATATGGTCATTTAATAACTTATGCTGTGTAATAACCTACAACTTGTGTTTTATGATTAGACTTATTTGGTCGGTCATGTAATAACTTATGATGTGTGCTATTTTAACCTTAGTTTTATGGCTATTTTAATCAGTACTATCAATATTACTATACTTTCTGTCACGTTGTATTACAATTGTACGTTTGTTTGCTTTCACGCATATCGTTTTCATTCATATCGTCACACCATTACTCTCACATTATAAGGCTAACAATATTTGTTAATTACACAATTAAACACCTCTGAACACAACTGAAAAACACTACTCAACCTATATAATATAAAACAAGACACATTTTATTCAAAATTATACTGTTATATATATCACGTAAATATTAAAAACAATTCGTAGTGTATATTGGATAACCACTATAGATAACAATGCTCACGTTATTATTTTTCTACCAAAATAAAATATATAACGACCCTAACTTAATTATCTCGAAGCAATTACTTTCTGTTGGTTTTAACGGTACTAGTACTAGTACTAGCTTCAGCCTTGTTCCCAATCAACGTCGTCTTGTAGTTTCCATTTGCTGCAAATTAGGTAACACGACAAGTAATCAGGCTGAGCATATCACATAATCCCTTATATATCCATTGAAACTTTGAACTCTCTTTTATCATTATGGCCCCTACTAATATACTAGTTAAAACTATGGGAATGTTCTAACAAGTATCTTCTTGTTCTGCAATCTCAATTCTTTCATAGAACGAAAGCTTCCTTGTAACTAGTTAATGTGTTGTTTCATATCATCAAACTTGTACGTGAATTCGAACTGAACTGACCTGCAGCAGGAGCCTCCTCTTCTTCGGAATCATAATCTTCTTCATTTGGCACTTCACGTTTCGACTTCATACCAACCTGACGGTCTGAGGATGTAGCAGCTGCTTCCTGACGGTCTGAGGATGTACTAGCTGCTTCCTGGCGGTCTGAGGATGTAGCAGCTGCTTCCTGGCGGTCTGAGGATGTAACAGCTGCTTCCTGTCTCATGGCTTGTAATTGTTCTCTGGTCGGATTCACTCCTTCCCTGATCATCCATATGGGGATGCCCAAACTAAT